AATATCAGACACTTCGGTGCAAGATTATGCCAAAATTCCATGTTTTCCGTCCCGTTTTTGCTCATTTCTCGGAGGCAAAATGAGCAAGAACGCTCACTTGTACGTTATTCTAGAGAGAAATAAATGGCCTTTTTAGCAAGTGAACCATCGATCAGAAAATGTTGGCAGTTTTCTCAATAAATGCTTGAGTTCAGTTAGTTTTAGATTTGCGTGGTTTTTTTAAGTGGCAAAATCCCCATGACCCCCATGACCCCCCCCCTGGATCCGCCCTTGGTGAAAATGGAGGAAAACTTGGCAATCTAACTGCAAAATGGAAATTCCTTCGGAACTTTCAGGGCACTAGGAAATATGCCGATAATTTAATAGTATCTGGAAATGTTCCACAACCTCTAATTATTGCTTTAAAAAATGCTAATGTTCTTTGCAAGTTTCAACTAGTTGCCGCAGCTTTCTCGACTTCCAAGTTGTTGGCTAAACAGCCAAAGAAACGCGACGTAATTCTGGAATCTATTTCGGATCGTGCACATTAGGTGTGACCGTGCAGGATCTTGAACTTAGCCGAAAATAATGTTTGTGTTTACACCCCGCTATAGTTCATGGTGCATTCAGCGCTATTTAGTTGCTTCTCCAGTACTTTTTCCTCTCCTCTTATCTTATTTTCCACTTCCAGATGTGCAGAAGCTTTCACTTCACGAATCCAGAACACACAGCAGATCATCCTCCGAAGCTTCCAGAGGATTGAGCGACGATTCTATCCTAGGGGGAAAAAATGAAAGTGGCCGGACAGAATCGCCGGATAACGATTCGGCATTCAGCGATACGGTTTCGATGCTTTCCAGCGAATCGTCAGCGAGCAGCGGCGGAAGCGGCGCCAAACCTCAAACCCTCAACTTGCAGAATATTCACCAAGTAAGTTTTGCGGCTCAACTATTTCAACATCGACCTAATCAAGCCGTTTTTGCTCCAGGACGATGCTTCCAGAATAAAGGCGGAAAAGATCCGAATGGCAATGGAAAAAATCAAGGAAGCCAACATTCAAAAGCTGTTCGTCAAAGTGTTTACTACTGATGGATGTGCCAAGTCACTCTTGGTGGATGAGAAGATGTTGTGCTCTTACGTGACACGACTTTTAGCTGATAAGAACCATGTGAAGATGGACCCGAAGTGGGCCATTGTTGAGCATTTGCCTGATTTATACATGGGTGAGTACCAGATGGGGAAAACGAAAATTCCTCAACTATATTGAAACCTTTTTTAGAACGGTTTTATGAAGACCATGAGCTGCTGGTGGACAATCTCCTTCTGTGGACGCGGGAGTCAAAGAACAAAATCTACTTTGTGGAACGCCATGATAAAATCAAACTCTTTGTGCAGCCAGAGCAGTTTCTTCTTTCCAAAGACCTCAAAGATTCCTCCGACTACGACGAGCATTCCAGAAATATGCTGCTGGAGGATTTCTTCGCCTCGACCAATGGGAGCTTGCCAGAGGTTTGAACCTGTCAGCATCAACCGATTTCAACTTCTAATCAACATGTTGAATTCTCTAGGTTGAAGGCCCACTTTACTTGAAGGCGGATTCGAAGAAGGGCTGGAAAAAGTACCACTTTGTGCTGCGCGCATCCGGCCTCTACTACTTTCCGAAGGAGAAAATCAAAAGCGCCAAAGACCTGGTGTGTTTGGCTACCTTCGACAACAACCAGGTAAGAGCTCGAACTACAACGGCATTTTTTTGTGGTTTTTCGCCTTACAACTTAGCAAAAATCTATCGTCAGGTGTACTATGGGGTGGGATGGAAGAAGAAGTTCAAGGCGCCAACTGACTGTTGCTTCGCCATCAAACATCCCCGTCTGCAGGAGCCAAAGTCGACCAAGTTCATCAAGTACCTCTGCGCCGAAGATCAGGCCACTCTGGAAAAATGGATTATTGGAATGCGGATTGCTAAGTTTGGGAAGCAGCTGATGTACAACTACAGGTAAATGTCCCGGTTGTGGTGTCCGTTCCACTGTTGACGATTGGTTGAATTTTGCAGGGCTTTAATGGACGAATTGGCGCAGGAGGAAATGGATATTTTGGCAAATGCTCGAAGCTGCTCGGTGCAGTCGATCGCAGTGCAAAGCATCCAGTCTAACAGCACAACTCCAACCCAAGGGTGAGTGAAGAACTTGCCGAATTCAACTGTTGGCTCTTTTTACTCGAACTTCAATGGATCATGTGATAAATTTGTTGCAGATATTCTGGAAGTGAAGCTGGTTATGGGACAGCGTCTGGAAGTGAAATTTACTCGGCAACTAGCGAAGCCAGTTCCAGTTCAGGCCGACACAGCAGAGCCAGCAGTTCCAGTTCGAGCGGCTGCATGTCCGATGGAGCCCCTTCCAGTTGCGAAAATGCCTTCGACTCTGAATTTCCAATGGGTAAGTGCAAAGAGGATGGAAGAATCGGCTCGATTCTCGTCAGCTGGGCGAAGCCTACACTTTGAAGCTTTATTTCTTCTGCTGTGAAGTAACTGTATCCAAAGAAATCATTATGATGATAATGATGTTATAGGCACAATCAAACGAAAACCTTCAATGAAGCCGAATTTACCGCTAACGAATATGACGAGACAACTGAAGGAAGTTGGCGAAACGAGAGACGAAGTCGATGGAACATTGCCAATCAGTCCAGTGTCTTATACGAATACCGGGACATTGACAAGACGGCATAGCAGGTGAGAGAGGCGGTTGATCGGGAAGTCTAGAGCTCTCTAAAAATGTACGGTTTGTTGCAGGCGAAAATCCAACAATTCCAACGACGATTCCTCCAACACTGGCACCCTGAAGCGACAGCACTCATACAAATCGCGAGGGTCTTTGGACTCGATGGGCACCAGAAGCGGAAACTCGACGCCCCTTTGCGGAACGCCCGTGAGGGAGCGAGTGAGTCCGTTCGGCGATAGATCGAGCCCATTTGGAGACCGGCCCCCCAGCGCCTCTTCGCTAAGAAGTCCGGCCACTTCGCCTACCAGCCCGGAGCTGTCTAGTATGGTAGGTTCAGGTTTCCACTCTGCCAGCAAAAGCGTCACTAGTAACTCGATTGTTTCAGACGGATTCCATCATATCATTGCCACCCCCTCCGGACTCAAACGGCGACACCATCAACGAGCCCTTGAACTACCAACTACCTCCTCCGCCCCCTGAGGTCTACAATTCGAATTTGTCCCTGGACAGTTTACCGCCGCCCCCGAATCTCAGCGACCTGCCCCCGATGAGCGGCAGCGAGCTGACGGGGAGTCAGCTGAGTCTGATGTCGCTGCCGCCGCCCCCAGGCGAAGACACTGGGACGATGCGGCGAAGAGCCGGAGGAAGCGCAAGTTCTAGTGCTTCAGCTACGCCCACCAATGTGCTGAGTCCTGAAAGAACCCCGATCCAGGGGATGTCCCCCGACCAAACCCCAACACATTCGAGACTGAACACACCCTGCGTGAGCCCGCCCAATTCCAACTGCAGTACCCCCACTCAAACCAGCCCGCCCAACGCCTTCAGCCCCACCCACAGGAACGGGGGCGCTTTTCCCCAAGGTAGCCCAATCTATGGCCAGAACCACGACAGAAACCTGCCCGCCTATGGAACCGCCACTAATGGGTTCCACCAGGCTCCTCCATATGTTAATCCGCCTCAATACAGACAATCGAGCACGCTTCCTGGTGGTTCAGCGTTTTCCAATAACAGCGGCTTAAGGTCGTCAATGCGGCAGGTGTCGCTGCCCAGGCAGATTTCCTCCAATAGCATATCGAGCAGCAACAGCAGCGGATCATCGGGCAACACCATTTACGGGAGTGTGTACGAAGTGCGAAATTCGCCCAAGGCGCCAAAGAAAGTGGCATTCCAGGAGCCGACCAGCCCGAAGAAGGGCAGTAAAAAGATCAGCTTCAACTTGACGCCCCAAGAGGTGCCGCCCCTACCAAAAAAGCCCAATCCGCCAAAGAGGTCGGAAAGCACCAAGCTCTCCAGCCCGAAGAAGCTGGTCGAGCCTCCAAAGGAGTTCCTAAAAGACCTGCAGAGGGTGATGAGGAAAAAGTGGCAGGTCGCCCAGAAATGCAAGCTGGAACCGGAAACCACGCCCCATGAAGTGTTGGGGTTCCGGGACCCGCCCACTTTGCTGCCCGACTACAAGGAGCACAATGTCTCCAACTGGGTCAAGGAGCACTACGGGCCGAATAATCTCTACGAAAACGTCTACAGGGATAGTCCGGATGGAGTAGTGGAGTACGTCTCCTCCCCGGTTCATTTGAGGGGCGACATCCGGAACTCTAAACGGCCCCCACCGCCGCCTCCAAAGCGGAGCGAAACCACCCACCTGTCGACCCCTAAAATGCACTGATGCTGTGTTTCATAATATAGCTTTTGAACAAATATCTCATATCAAACCTAAAGCCTATTGATTTTCCTACTAAGGCTGTGCCAGATCTTAACAACCAACAGGTTGACGGGGTAGAGGAACTATTTGCGCACAACGTTGCACCAAGTGGAACGAACCAGTAATTTAATTTAGTGAGTAAAAAACTCTGCTTAATCTTCTCAACTATGTTCCTTCATGAATGAAAAAGTGAGTGTCGGTCGCCTTCCTCTACCTTTTCGGGGGCAACTAGAGACGTTGCGTAAAATCTGGTCACACCTAGAATGTTATATTTTTTGAACGATTGTAACGTTTCCCATTAGCGTGACCAATGAAGCTTTTGATATCCCATATACTAATTAATGGACGTTTAGAAGCTGGCGAAATATACATACAGAGTGTTGTTAGATCTTGGGTGCAAACATGAGAAATTGGTGCTGGAAATTACTTTTGTTGTCGACTAGTAAATTGAATATTTTACCGTTACTTAAAGAATAACTTAATAGCCAGCGTTTTGAAGCCCACGTTTTAGTTGTTTAATTGATGTTTTTAAATTAGGTAATTCTATATATTAAAAAAAATGAATTTTTTGGTTTTAACCCAATCAGTCATAAATTTCCATTAGAAATCAGACATTGGAAAGAGCAGAAGCAGGTATAAAAACCAGTCAACAATAGGACCAACAATAACAGCATTATCATACGATAAAACGCGTATGGTAGTCTGATATGGTTGGCTGCAAATGGAAATAGATTCAAGTCTCAATTCCCTGTATATATATTTATCGGCAGAATTGAAGCTTTATGTGACTGCCCTTTGTTGTCTTTCCCTATAACTATCCATTATATCCATTACATGCATTACTATACAAACAGTGCATATTACAAGTTGACACCGACACGTTGAACTGATGCGATTTGAGACATTTTTTCGAAAGTTATATTTCATTGCACATTAAAAAGTACTGCCACTACCAGCAATGATAGACGATTCTAGGCTAAGACTTTCTAACAAATACTGCCTACGATAATTTTCAGGCAAAATTGTGATTTATTAAGTAAATTGTAGAGAAAGAATGATGTGCCATTATTACACGAGTGATTTTGCTGACTTTCTAGTTACTTTCAATGATTCGAAAAAAAAACCATTATAGTTTTTTGTACATACATTAGTTTTCTAGCAGTCAGTGTTTCATGAGAAATGTCAAACAATTTATGGTGCTTCTAGGTATAAATTCTAGGGGTTAGACGTAGCGAAATTTGTGTGTTTTTATAAATTTTATAAACACTTTTTACAGTGATTAGTTGAATAACATTTGTTTATAAGGGTATATCAAAATGGTAAGCTGTTTAACGTAATTAGTAGAGATGTGACTTTTTTGATATATTCTTCTGCGCTGAGGTGTTACAGGGTTCAAACGACAACTTGATTTAAATTAATTACCATTTTGCGAATCATACTTCTTGTGTAAATAGTTGTCTTCGGTTAATCCGCGACGGTCGATACGAACATTCATTATTCCTATAAACTAATCGCAACAAACTGTACATTTTATTTAAGCGTATTTGTAGGATATTTGTACGTTCATTTGAATGCATATAAATAATATACTGGAGGATCTCTACAATGCCATTGCGTATACGTAGCAAGTTTATTTAAACTTTTTATTTTTTACTAACCCTTATTGTAGACATGTATAATAATTAAATTATTTTAAAAAACTGCTAAAGTTTCAAAACGGAACCGGGGCGTTGTAGATCGACAGGGTTTTGGTTGATTCATTGTTTTTCTTGTTCAGTTTTATCCGAAACGGTTCGGCTTCAACTACGACGAGGTGCTTATTTGTAATAAACACTTTGTATACACTGTCTACCATTTATAATATTGATATACTAACTGTTACATATAGTATTAAATTATAAATAAATCATATTTAAAATAGTGGGCTTTTCATTCGTGTATTTGCATAAAAAACAAAAAAAATAATAGGAGGAAAGTCAAAAAAATAGCTAAAATAGTCTAAAATCTTACAATCTTAGAATAAGATGCACAGCTGCAACTAACTGTGTGTTCCTAAGCAGAGTAATGTTAATGTATTCTTACACCTTGTATAAAGACGCGCCATTTTTTGGCAATTCTTGACAATAAGGCGTACGACCAGGAAAGATCCAACCATTCATCCAGCATCCTGTTCACACGTTTTTTCACCCAGCAAAGTATGCATGATTCATTGCCTGTTTTGCCTTTTCTTGGACAGTTTCCTAATTTGGCGAATTTCAATATACATCGGTAAGCTTCTTGATGGAAAGCAATGCCCCCTCAGGCCAAGCCGATTGCTTGCCTTAAAGCATGCAAATCGAGCGTCTATTAAAGACGTATCAGTTTCAAGTCCCCCTAAAGCCCCGACGCCTCAAGCAAAACATCCACACCCATAAAACACTAGAACATGACAGAAATGCATGAAACCGTTATTAAATTTCTATTAAACGCAAACTGAACAGGGAAAAGGGTCCGCGTAGGGCCAATAAAAAATTGATATAAAATTGACCGTTTACTTTTCGAAAAATCATCCCTCCATTAAAATAAATTTAGTAGAACATTATGAAAAGATCGTTTTAATTTATAGTGACCGGCTGCCGGTGGCAGGGCCCCACCCTTTCAACAGTAACACACGAAATAAAATTATACAAATTTGGTAGGCAGGTCGCTCGACCATTCAAATTCTAATTTACCAAATTTACGATGCATGTGTAACAAGTCCGTAGGTCATAAAACTTGTAAAACGCCAGTCAAGGGTTGTAACCTGAAGAACTACCCTTTGACCATCGGTCAGGTACTTCTCGGTTTAACCCTAAGGTTTAACCCCAGCCTCAGCCCTAAGCGGCACTTGTGTTTCTTTTACATTTTTTTTCAGTTCCTGGCGCTATTTTTATTTCCTTGAATGGTATTTCCGTTAAGAAGCGCCGGTTTTTCATGGGACTTTGGACTGAACCGTATGGGATACAGGGTGTTTTAGAAATGTACCAAACAACTTTCATTAGGGGAGGTACAAGACATTAAGGCGAAAGCGTACAGTTTTGTCAATACAGATGAAAAAAACGTTGGAATTACATCTTTTTTTCCTCCTATCCCTACTTCAGTCGATTTTTGTACAAGAATATTGAAAATAGCGAAAAAGGAGGCAGCGCTTTTTATACAATTGTTTCAAAAAATGTTTAAAAAATCATTTCGTTTTCTTACTTTGATCAAGCAAAAAATGCTTGTGTGAACATTCCCAGATGGCCAAAAGTCTCAAACTTAAACTTACGGGGTTTGTTTAAAAAAAAAGATGTTTTTTTTAATAGACAGAGATTTGAATACTCAAATTTTCAAAAGATGTTTGGTATTTTAAAACCAAACTATCAAAAGATGCAATTTTTTGACAAATTTGCAAAAACCAACCGTCACATACAGGGTCTCCCAATTTTTCGTCCAAACAACTACTAGATCCGAAGGCTCGTAACCTGCATAATTCAAAACTGTATAAAATGTGTAATTTTCCATTGAATACTGGTGATATTTCTTGCACCTAAACGGCTCCTAAAATAATTTAAAAAAAACGACCGTTTGAAAATTCTTCCACGATGCTTACACGATGATCGTTTTTGATACTCACACGACGACCGTTTTGAAGAATTTTTCACGACTCTTCGTTGACAAGTCTTTCCGTATTTGATACACACGATACACGCGATCTTCGTTGACAAATCCTACCGACTGCGCCAGTTAAAATCACTTCCTTGGAAAGGGAGTTTTTAAAACAATTTTAATTTCGATTGATACGGATTTCAGCTTTAAGAGACAACTGTTGGTTATTACAGGCTTGTGAGAATATATACTAATTAAATGCTGATGAGTTTACATGCTATCTGTGAAACTAAAGAACATTATGTACCTCGTAAGTATAATTAGATATTTCCTTAAGCTTAGCTGCGAAATAGAATATCATGAATTTGTGAAGTTGGCTAAATAGGATATCATAACTCTAGCGACCATGATCAAAAGAAATATGGAAAAGTTACACGTTTTTAGTTTTTTGTAGGTTTTTCTTGCGACTTTCAATTGCCGTTTTTGTTATTAAGCCGACAGCTCCTAAGAAAAGTTTCGATCAATACGCAAGAAAACATCATCAGTGACCTGCCTAAAGCGTTTGACTCCACATACACCTCATATCGTCCAATCAAACCAGCGTCAAACGAATCATCAGATGCTCTACTTATCGACATAAACGAACCGACAAAGAAAAGCGCAACTTTCATGATGAAAAGAAATATGGAAAAATTACACGTTTTTAGTGTTTTGTAGGTTTTTCTTGCGACTTTCAATTGCCGTTTCTGTTCTTAAGTCGACAGTTCCTAAGAAAAGTTTCGATCAATACGCAAGAAAACATCATCAGTGACCTGCCTAAGGAGTTTGACTCAACATAAACCTCATATCGTCCAATCAAACCGGCATCAAACGAATCATCAGATGCTCTACTTATCGACATAAGCGAACCAACAAAGAAAAGCGCAACTTTCATGATCAAAAGAAATATGGAAAAGTTACAAGTTTTTAGGTTTTTGTAGGTTTTTCTTGCGACTTTCAATTGCCGTTTTTGTTATTAAGTCGACAGCTCCTAAGAATAGTTTCGATCAATACGCAAGAAAACATCATCAGCGACCTGCCTAAGGCGTTTGACTCAACATACACCTCATATCGTCCAATCAAACCGGCATCAAACGAATCATGCGATGCTCTACTTATCGACATAAACGAACCGACAAAGAAAAGCGCAACTTTCATCCCGTTTGTTCTTTTGCAGGCCGCGGAATCGCGTCGCGGCCTTGGAAGCGTCGATGGCCTTGCACTTCACCGAGAGTGGCCTTGACCGCGAACAACTCTCGATTTCCTTCACACACACACACACATATGGAGAAAGAATGAGGCCAATAAACAGTTTAAGTTCAACCAAAAATAGTCCAATCGCATCCTTTTCAAGGAAGCAGAGTGGAACTTCTGCAGGAAAACACTAAATGGGAACAAGCCGACGTCTGTGTTCCTTTAAGATAAGTTAAGCCAGTTAAGCGAATTTTTTCACTCACTGAAATGTTTTTAATTAGCTCAAGACCAGACGAGGTCAGTAGTGTGAGTAGGATTTGGATCGATTTCTTATTTCATGCTTAAATGGGCACATTTGCTGAAGCTAATTGGTACAACAAGCATTCGAAATTACCAATGACGGAAAACAAACTATTGGAGTTCTTGTTAATTAACCATCCAGCCAGAATAGCCGTTTGCCACATTGTTCGTTCGTGAAGCAATTTGCAAAACTGGCACAATTTTATACTCTAATCCAAGTTAGGTATATGAAAGTCTAAACAGCGCCAGATCTTCCGGACCAGCGCAAATTTAAACTTTTTCACGTCTGGTATGGACAATGCCAACAATAAATCGTGCCAGGAGAGAATCGCAGGAGCGGCAAACAGTCAACGGCCCTCAGGAGGAGTTCGTTAACGGGAATTGTCCTATTCAGTGTAATTAATTTATGGGACCGACCGATTTGCATGCTCCGACTTAACCTCCTCGGACAACAGCCAAATTTAATTTATCCACCACGGGCATTTGCTTAACAAATAGAAGCGATCTAGCTTCCATGCAAGCGGAGGTGGGGAATGTTAATCAACTGCAGGGCAAAAAGAATTCTGGTTTCACCAGCTCGAACTGAGGAAACATCAAAAAGCTCGCTAGAAATAATGATGGTTGATTTTGGGCCATGGAGGTGGTTGAAACCTCTCAGAGAGAAGAAACCTTCTGGCGAACGCAAACCGCTAGAAGAACTAGAAGTAGATGAAGCGAGCAGAACTGATAGAATGGCCGTGGCGAGAGGTGCATATAGTTAATCACTGTTGGCTTGAGCAAACATAAACCAAAGGGGTGGCCAGCGGACCATCTCCAACACCCCCATGTCTTAAAGTGCACTGGTGTGGAATAACAGGTACACAAGTGCCCGCGCACTGTGCAGCCAGCTTAATTTATTCCCAAACTATTGTGCATCGCATTTATCTCCGGGTCGAAAGCTGTTTAACGTTGACAATTGCCTTCCTCGTAAATCCATTACGCTATAATGCGGAAACTTTCCAGGTCCAGTAGAGGGAGACGCAGCAGCAGCAGGAGGCGGCGGAGGAGGAGGCGGCATCCATGAATTTAATTCCATGTATTTTCGAGGTAAGACCATTAATCTGGTGTTTCAGATTCAAATCGGCCAATCTTCAATTGCACGAAGCGAACGAAATAAACGACCACAAGCTGACGAAAAACCTTCGATTAGCTGTTCAAAGAACAAAGTCACTATCAGTGGCGGGTCCAGCTTTAAATTCAAGGGGGGGGGCGGTTATCTAGAAAAAATACAGTCTTCTCTTGTCTATGAAATTAGAAAAATTATCGTCGTTTTGTGCAAGGGTGGCGTAAGATTAATGCAAAATTTCATGTTTTTCGTCCCATTTTGCATGTTTCTCGGAAGCAAAATGAGCAAGAACGCTTCTTTTACATCATTCCAAGGGAACTAAATGGCCTTTTTAGAAAAGTGAACCATCGATAAGGAAATGTTGCAGTTTCCAACCATTCGAGCCACAGAATTCGTTTTGGCATCGTTGGATAGAGAACTGAAAAGTCGATTCAGTCGTAACAACGTGAGCGAGGAAATTCGAGTAGTTTTGACCCAGAAAGCGAAATTTGAATATCAGACACTTTGGTTCAAGATTATTCCAAAATTTCATGTTT